TGAAGCCATGGCCGAAACGAAATCTGCCGCTCCGTCGTCCAATCAAGGAGCTTCCAGCGTTCAGCTCCGTGATGTTCATTTTTCATACCCTGCCAGACCAGATATGCAAGTTTTGAACGGCTTGAACATCGATATCCAACCTGGAAAGTTCTGTGCCCTGGTCGGACCATCCGGTGCTGGTAAATCGACAATTATTTCATTGGTCGAACGATTGTACACACCACAATCTGGATCCATCATTATTGACGGCGTCGATGTAACAAAACACCGAGATGTTGCCTTTCGAGATTCCATTTCCTTGGTGCCTCAAGAAAGTGTACTCTTCGAAGGAACAGTCGAATTCAACATTGGATTCGGTGCCAGACCTGACCACGAAGTCACCATGGACGAGATCATCGCCGCATGTAAGCTCGCCAATATCCACGATACCATCGCGGCCCTACCAGATGGATATCAAACCCTCTGCGGAACAAACGGAAATCAATTCTCGGGAGGACAGAAACAGAGACTATCCATCGCTCGCGCGCTCGTTCGAAAACCTAAATTGTTGATTCTCGATGAATCTACTAGCGCTTTAGATGCCGAGTCGGAAAAGCTCTTGCAAGATGGATTGGAGAAGGCTGCGAGGGGAATCACAGTTATCGCTATTGCTCATCGTTTACGTACGATTAGAAAAGCGGATGTTATTTTCTTGGTGGATGCGGGAAGATGTACGGATCAGGGATCGCATGAAGAGTTGTTGGAGAGGTCGGAAAGTTATAGGGCGAATGTCATGCATCAAACAGTAGTATAGAAAAAATGTTTCTGGGGGCGTAGCACTAGTATATATCCTGGGTATTTCTTTCACCACATATAGAATATAATAATTTTAGACTCAAGTTGGTGTCCATTTTGATTTTTCTTTTGACTATTTACAGTACCCAGCCGCTGGTCGACGGAATCTAAAACACCTGCGACTTCCCGTCATCACCGCAGCGTTCATCGCAGAAACTGCATCAACCCGATATACACTTTGATAACATCTCTATAGAAATAGAATATGGGGTTGAGAATGGTACATAAACAACTCGTCAACACTTTGAGTGTGAGAAATATGTTTTAGTATAAAGTAGCCTTTGATTAGATGAGGTTACACAATAGCTCTTAGCGATACTTATCTGACCTGCATATGTCGTGAAAGAGAGCAATGAGTTTGTAACGGATAACGCGCTTCAATGCAATTTGCCAAGCCCTACTCACTCAGTTGGGTATCAAATTGATTGCATATATCCTATTTATTCTTCCAGGTGAGTGAAGATTGCAACGCAACAATGAACAAGTGGTAGTCTGTATGAATTACTGCCAATCGGAATACGCCCAAAGCAGGGGCTTGGACATGCTGAACAAGATCAGATGACAATACGGAATATGTATCCTGCAATTGTCTCGGTTTAGAAAGCGGCAGTAAGCCTTAGATGCGACTGTATCTTTGCCCTGGATCGGTTCGGCATGGAAGCCTGAGACGGGACTACAGTACTTTGTTTTCTCAATTTCTTCATCCACAAATAATTCTAGGTCCTAGGGCTGAAACTCAAAGCCAGAAAGAAGTAAACATATGCGATAACATTAAAGAGGGTCACGCGATACGCCCCAAAAGAAATAATTGGGGTGGTATCACAAGATGTATGCTCAAGCGATAGTACACAAATCTGTAGCGAGGCTTAAGCCCATCATTCGGGCTAGATCATTCAAGGCTTATAGTAAGAAAAGTCATGTACCACACGAGGCTGGCCGTTGACATATTGATATGCAGCGCGGCTCAAAATGTTCTCACAAACAACGCCGAAAGATGAGTGAGACTTGACGAAAAGAAACAAGAGACTTTGATACACCACATCATTAAAAATGGCTCACACAGCACAGAATGATAAGGCGAAGCCTCTCCTGCCTCTCCTGCCATACCAACAACCGAGATCTCGAGAATTTCTACCTTGCCTTGCCCGAGTTCTCGGAACTTGAGTAACTAGATCCGAAGTCCTACTCCGAGATTGTGGGACAATCGGGAACTTTCAGCGGAAATATATCACACGTGATGAGTACAAGACTTCGATGCATGAAGACGAACTACTTGTCATGTACCTTAGTATCCTATCATGGGTCAACCCTTAGATCTGTGATCTCTCAAAAGCATGGAAGGATATTTCGTATTGCTCTGCTTCTTCAAATATGGCTTCGATACTGGAGGAAGCGAAAGCGAAGGAGTGAAAATTGAGGGGAATGCATAGGAAAGAGAGTACATGTCTTCAATTGTTCCCCATATTTCCCCCCACACCGCTTCTTCCACGACGGGTATTTGCAGTGATGACGCTTTCAACCCTTTGGTAACGGAATTGACCCATTTCTTCTTTTGATAATCCGACGAACTTTATATGATGTACCGACCGAAAACCTAGAGTTGCTTCATGCGGGAAGCCGTTTGTAAGTATCAGTTTATGTAGGTTCAGGGCCGGGAAATATAATCTATCATTTTTCTTCCCATGGATCAATACCGAGAAATAACAGCAGAACGGAACGCATGAATAAGCACTGATGATTACTTTTTAGAAACAACCTGTACTTTGATAAGTATTTATATGCCTACTTCGTCTTCTGAGACAAATTGGACAATGTGATTTGTGATTAAAAGCATGCTTCGTGGCTGGATTTCAAAAGGCACCCCCCCCTCTTGTCCGACCCGGCCATCTGCAAACTCTTGCAGATGACTTTCTCGAGAAAAAAAACGACAGCAAATGATCGGAAGTATTCTCAATCCTATCACAAACATCACGAAATGCGGGATTCAGAGGGATTTTTAACATGAGCAATCAACTCTCTCTCTCCTATAGATTTCGCTTGGAGGGGTAGAACCAAAAGGTACGCTTTTACATTGCAATTTCTAACATGATGAAAGACTTCTTTTCATGTACGAGTACAACAAATTCAGTCAACCCCATTCATCCATCTTACTCTAGTGCATTGGTGATACGACAACAGGTGCTGCACGACACGTTCGCAACTCCGAGAGCTGGGGTTGCCGTCCCATCATTTTTTCTACAGCTGCAGGCATCTCTTTGAACCCGGCTCGCTTTCAGAATCGTTCACGAATTAATGCAGGAATATCCGTATACGATTATACTGCATACCGCATATCGTGCAGCTGCAACGCACACTATCGGGGAAATGAGAAGATAGGGATCTTTTTGTTTCTTTTCATGGGTGAAGGGGGGAAACCGGATGGGAGAATGCGAGGAAGAAAGGCATGGTTTTAACAGCTAACAACGAATAACGAACAGCGAAACACCAACATAACAAAACCTTTTTCCAAGATATGTGTATACTCGATGTTCCGGGGCTCACCCAGACGGTACGATAGTATATGAGACATACGATAGGCTTAGAGAGAGACCGATAGCTGCACTAACAAGACATTTGATAACGGCACCGAAGTACGATATAAAAATCCGCCATTCTCTTTCGCTGATCGCTATATTCCTCCGGTCGGGGGGAGGTGTGGACCACAGTCTGTTGTAGGAGCTTGGTATAATGTACATGATGTATCCAAGCCCATCCACATTCGGATCCAATATCTAACAACATTTGGAAAAGAGTCTAGGAAACTTTGAGATCAGTGCATATATGAGAAAGATTTTTTGAAAGAACAAGAGAACGAAAGAACCAAAATATCAAGATCGTGACTGTAGATGTGCATACATGTACCTAGGATGCGTGAGTGATGTGTTTCTATTATTGTCTGTATGGATTTCATTCGCATTCTCCTTCCAATTCAATCACCATCTCGCATACATCTTCATACATTATCTGTCGTAATAGCAGCAACACTTCCGGGTCAGACTGACATGCATTTGGTAAGGTTCTCAAAGCAAATGCGAAGATGCGGTTCTCATTGGAGCTGAATCCTTTGCATTGACTGATGTACAGGTACAGATCTCAGTATTGGATATGATGTCCCGCTCCGAATCATGCTTTGGGGGTTAATGGGGGGGGGGGTAATGCTTTTCCACACAAAGAAGTCTTTTTATTGTGTCCAGCAATTGAGCCGTCTTTCTTTTTGATACATTCATTGCCTATCTTGTTGTATCGGCTTGTTCTTTTCCCTTTCTTGCTCTGACTATTCGGAAGAAAAAGTACATGATACATCTCACTCATTTCTTGGCTGACATGAAGGAAGATAATTATATTTATTAAGATAATAAATATTATTATTATTATCCCAATTTTAATATGAAAATGTTAGGACTGAGACTAGGGATGAAAAAGGGGGGGGAGAGGAGAAGGGATTTATCAAAAGAGTAATCATATGGATGGAATGAAGACACTCTTTTCATTATACTCTACTCGAGTAAGGTTAACAAGGTTAACTCAATCCTTATAGAAAGGATGACTACTACCGAGTCCTCGCACCAGTCCCCACGCGCTATTACGATATCGGAAACTAATAATTCGGATAACAACCCCACCACTACCACCATTACCATTACCATTTCCATTACCATTACCACCACCACCACCACCACTCCTAATATCATCATTATCATCCTTTCTCTCTTCTACCACACACACCCTTTCAGCGAACGAGACGCCACCATATCCCGCATCTCATATTACACTTGCTAGGTAGGTACTTACTATTCTACGCCCAACCCTCGAGAATTCAATCCAATCTCATCATAATAAGTTACAGCACATATACACCTTTTCGGCAGGCCGAGGCCGCCTCTGCTAGTAACACCAAATCGCACATTGCATCGTGCATCTTGTACAGCTTAAAGATCCCAAATCTGTCATTGTCATTCAACCGGGACCCTAATTTACTACAATTACTTCTTCTTCTAGCTTGTGCTCGGTTTCTTACGCCAATTCACAATAACCTCTTACTCTGGCTACGAAATATTCCTCCGAGAGACCGAGCTTTCTATCTATGAAAACTGGTAATTGAGTGCCGTAAAGACGACGACGGCGCAATGCTTTCAGCTCCGCTGACTCCTCCTTATGGAGATTCAGCAGATAATATCGAGAATGATTCATCCAATGGCCGCATGACGGGCGGATCGAACTCTTCATATATACATCAACCATTTGCGCTTGCAACTCCAACGAGTAATTCGAGTATGATGTTCAACGACTCTAGCGAAGAATATACGCCGGGGGGTCGCTCCTTCTCTGATGATATGATGGAAGAATCCGATCAGGATATGTCTGATGGAGGAGCGCCTTTGACAACAATACCATCGCATGCAGAAGAATCCGCCATTGATATGGATACAGGAGATTCTGAAAATATATACTACAATGATCCGGTAGGACTACATAATGACTCTCAATCGGCCAACCCGTTCTATACCCAAGATTTCTTGAATGAATTTGATGTGCCATCAGAAGGAGGAGGTAGCTTGTACCCATACGGGGCCTTTATTCCTTTACCTTTACCTGGAGCCATTGATACCACCGATTTGCCAGCTGTAATGTCAGAGGTTTCACAACAACTACAACATATTCAGGATGGGCAAGAGCATGGAGATTCTGAATCGACCCCAGATGAACATCATGATATGTTCATAAATCACAATCAGAGTACACCCCCTGCTTCATATGTTCAACATTCCCATGTGCAAGATTTCCCTATTCAAGAAGATAAACGTTTGGTAACGTGGCATGACCTCCTAACTGGAGAAGCGTTTTCCTCATTAGCTGCGTCACTAGAAGAACACAAGGAATCTATTAATCAGGGCATTGATCATGTCGCTCCCCTTGAAGTTGATCAAGGTGCCGACCATGTCGCTTCCCATGAAACTGATCAGGATGTTGACCATGTCACTTCCTATGAAACTGATCTTGACATCAATCACGATGCTCACAATCTTGATGAGACTGATGCTAACCAAGCTCAAGTTGACAGACAATTTAATATGAACTTCGGCAACTTTCTTGGCGACTGGGCGACATCTTTTGCTCGCAGAGGCACAAATAATTCGAAGCCTTCACAGGCCGCTATCACTGCTCATATACTTGCCGAAAATCTTGAGCCCATGCGGAGATGTGACCTTCAAGGGGAGGAATGTGATATTCAGAGAATTGATTGGGATGACTTGGGGGTGACACGATTGGAGGCTAGACAAAGACGCCGGGCCACTTACAAAAACTATACCAATCTTGTATACCCCAATCGTCCACAGCTCAATGTGAGTTTACTCGTATTTATGGATTAGTTGTTGATCTGACCAGATTTAGCCCCAGCAACTACATGGTACAAGACTTAGAAATGTTGATAATTACTTCAAATTTCGGCAAATGGATTTTCAACATGACGTCCACATTCGACACTTTCAATTGCGCAACTTAATTACATGCCCTTCACAAAATTGTGTGATCTACGCTGCAAAAACAAAGGTGTCGTATTATGACCCTACCATTGAATCGACTCCTCGCGTGTTGATGGATCTTGGCAATCCAAGGACGCAGTCATTTCATTCTTCCTTGAACGGGTGTCAAGTCTCCACTCTGACCAGTGGCCACGAGGTCGTTGTTGCAGGTGGATTTGAGGGGCAATACGCATTGATTAGCACTAGGGCTCAAAAGGATGCAAAACATACTGAAGGCGTAATTACGGAGCACCCAAATGATATCACAAATCATGCCCAAGTTCATTTATCACGGTCTTCCTCGCCTCTAGTTACCTTTGCCTCGAACGACTCTGGCATTAGAACTCTCGACGTCACAACCAATAGGTTTATTTCAGAGCACATGTATGATCATGCTATGAACTGCACAGCTGTATCACCCGATCGACGTCTACGTCTACTGGTCGGTGACACTCGAAAGGTTATGATTTGCAATTCCGAAACAGGGCAAACTTTACAAGAGCTTGAGGGCCATCTTGACTTTGGCTTCGCATGTGATTGGTCTGAGGATGGGTGGACGGTAGCGACTGGAAATCAAGACATGCAAGTTAAGATTTGGGATGCTCGGTATTGGAATCGACCTGTAGCGAGTATTGCTGCAGATATGGCAGGCGTCAGGAAACTCAAGTTCTCTCCTGTGGGTTCTGGTAGGCCAATACTAGTCGCAGCGGAACCAGGAGACTATGTCAATATCATAAACGCCGAAACATTTGATAGCAAACAGACTCTCAGCTTCTTTGGAGAGATTGGAGGTTTCGACTTTACTAATGATGGTCAAGAGCTGGTTGTTGCAAATTGTGACACCTCGAGGGGCGGGATAATCGAATATGAACGTTGCGATTTTGCTACCGAAGGTCTGTGTGGGAAGGATGAGCAACTGAGAAGTATGATGGAAGATGATCAAAGTAGTTATACGATGGCTGGGAGGAAACGAGATTATGGCACTAGCCATCTGGCTGAAGAACTTCTAGAGGAGTCACCAGCCCTTCGAGGTACTACGAAGCGCCGAGAAAGAAGAGCAGCTCTTTTAACCAACCTGGGATCATTCTAAGGATTCCTATACGCAGGCACATTTCGATTAAAGGATATTATTTGCGTTGTTAAGAGGCATATTCAATGAGCCCAGAATAACGCCTCAAGTATTTATAGTTTGTTGGTTGATCATTCAATCCTTCTATATACTCCGATACCTATATTTCAATATGTTTGATCCACTACCGGTAGCTCAGATACAAGTCAGTGGCACTTCTTTTCCTTTGTTGGCATCTCATTTTAACTATTCGGCATTATTTGGAGTCACGAATTCATCATCGTCAGTGTTTTGGCATATGGGATGGCTGAATGGCATATCAGGAAGGACTGCATTGGCATGAATTGAGAAATACCATTTGGGGACAAATTCAAAACTTCCAAGTTAGCGATGGAGTTTTGGGGGCGGGCTTAATTCCCGCATTTTTTTCTTGGCGAAGTTGTTTTTGGTTTGGTGGGAAGGATTTGGTATGGATCTCAAGGAATGAGAGAGAATTCAAAGGTGTAGGGAGTATTATAAGTTTGTCTATATTTTTACTTCACTTCGATTTGTGGCATTTTTTTGCGCCAGCTGTCAAGCATTTTTTAATTCGGGAATTTGGGAGGAAAGGAATTCAATATGAGCTGGACTTTGAATGAGATTGTGGATCTTGTTGATAGGGAAGACTTGGAATTTTTGAAGTGGATGGAATATTTGAGGGGATGTTTGTGGTGTGGATAGGATGAAATGAAATGGCATAGAACCATTCTGGTATTCATCGCACATTTGTCTCCACGGTAGCATGGAACGGTATATAGGAACTTCGGCAGCTTGAATGAATGAATATACAAAAGTTATTGAGAATTAATGGATGTTTTACTGTGTCTATTGAGTGGTTTTAGGTCTTGATATTAGTTGGATGGTTTTATTGCGGTGGTGTCTGTTAAGGGGGTAGATAGTCTTTTTGTGTTGTGGTTTTGTTGTGGTTGTGTTGAGAAGAGTTTTGGGATTCGTGTATTGTAGCTGTGCGGGGGTTTCTTGTGTGTGTATTAGTTCTCTAGGAGAAGCTGGTATGTAACCTTACTGTCGGGACATTAAGAACCCATAGACGCGGGGTGGTGGGTGCTAAGCCTTGAGGTGTTTGTTCTTAATATGTGGATTTGGCTTTGCTTGGTAACTCTAGTGAAAAAATATCAAATCTGATCTCGCATTCGCTTCGAAAGATTTCAGACTTATTGTATAAGTTAAATATATTTTAGACTTTACTAAGCAAATGGGAAGGAATTCGTACATACGGAGTACAGCGATTGGTCACATCGCCCTTGTTGGTATTTATCGCGCTACTTCTACTTCTGCTTGCTGGGGGGTGATATACGGGGTTGGAGTTGATAAAGTGGACGGGCTATGCACCTACGTACAACATCTATAGATTGATTATCTTACGTCTTGAATGATGGAGCAAATACGAGGATGAGAGCGGGTGAGAGCTTGGCGTCTTGTTCCTTGTAAGACTATGTATGCACCGCGGCTATAACTTTAATTTAAGCTTGAAGCTTATTTCTCCATGGTTGGCGGGGCTTACTTTGTCGGGGATTTTGTATTTTGGGTAGGTGCGGCGGTACCCTGGTATTTATTTGTATTGGGATTGTCTGTTTTGCGTTTGTGAATTGGAGAGGAGAGGAAGCGCTTAGGGGATAGGGGGCTTGTATGACTTGAAGATTAAGCTTACGCTTATGCTTGAGGTGAAATGGGCCTTTGCGCGTGAGTATCCAAGGTGGGGGATCGTGAGGTGGGTTCAGCGCTTGAGATGGAAGATTGGAATGGAAGATTGGAAGGTTGTGGATTTTTTCTTGGGTTGTTGATGTGCTTGGAGGACTCTGTTGTTGTGTATTATGTGGTCCTAGATCTACCATTTTCTGATGTTAGAATTGTGGTTGTGGGGTCTTTTTGGAACCGCATGTTGAATGCTAGAAAAATCGAGAGGTTGGTAACTCCGTGAATATCTTGGATTGTAATTGTTTACTCTCCTGTTTTGTCTCTATTGAAGTTGTTGGTTCTATATCCCAACATTAGAAAAGTATTTTAATCCTTCACTGTGTAGTTGTCGCCCCCAAATTAGGCGAAGCATCGAAGCATCGAAGCGACGAGATGTCCATAGGAATAGGACCACCTTGGCGTAGAAATTCAATACACAATGTATAATGCCAAGTAAGTAAAACGATTCTGTACGAGAAATCTTGAGCATCATGTCAACATTTACTGTCAAGAAATGTCAAAGAAAGTCAAGCGTAAGATGGCTTATGAATAGTTTTTACATGAAGATTGATCCTCCGACTGATGGTGAAAAGGAGTTGAAAAATCTATATAAACTCACTTTTCGTCGCGCATTGAAATTCTTTCTTCATCAAATAATCACAAAATCATTCAATCATCTTATCAATCAAACATTTAACCCAGTTACCTCAATCCAAACCATCCAACCCACCCACCCACCACAACCATGCAATTCCCCAGCATCATCATCTCCTCCCTCCTCGCTTTCACTACCAACGTCAATGCCTGGTCCCAAAACGATGATACCAAAGTCTGGACTGCAGGTAACAACTACACGAGCATTCGCGGCTGTAAGTATTCTCATCCTCATCCTCATCTTCTCAAATTCAAATTCGATCTTGTTAGATAGATATGATATGAAACGAACTCACTAACTCTCCTTCATAGCTGTGGTCCACGAAGCGTGCACCGAGATGAATACGCAAAATATTCGTGCCCATGGAACGGATTGCGCTTATTGGACTAATGGGGTGGGAGGTCTTTTGGTGGGGAGTATGATTTTTCTATATTTCCTTTTACTTTTCATATGAGAATAAGTCAAATATCATAGACTCGTACTAACACAATGCATAGAGTGCAACTATCAAGGAAACTCGGTTCTTTGCATCAGTGGTTGTTAGGGTATGTGAGAAGATACGCTGTGGTGTGGTGTGATAGACTTGTTATTTGGGTTTTGGGGCTTTTCGAGCTTTGGACGTTTCATCTTCTTCGGTTCCGTGTTTGTTGTTATAGATCTCGTCTTGGTATTTAGTTCAATAGAATAGAGTGGCCACTCGTTTCTTGATTCTATTTGATTTGGATCGATATGTTTTTGTGGTTTTTTATGCCTTATAGGTTTGATGGAAATGGGCTTCTTAATCGAGACCGAAGAAAATAGAAACACAATCTTCGAAGTAAATTTCCTCGACCACGCTTCATGGTTCCTCCATCCATTTGAAGGGCGTGGCAAGACGAGAGAGAGCTTGAAGCTTGGAGTTTGTTGGAGATGGTTATTTTCGGTCGTTCTTGGTGTTATTTTGGCCTACACAACGGCATATTTTTGAAGCAATCAATTTTCTTTCGCCTCCTTGGTTTAATCAGCAAGTAGTGAACCTTTCGCATGATTTCACAACGTGTGTCTAAAACCTTAAATTTCAGTGCTTTCGTAAAAACACCTTTTTGTTCCACTCAATTTAATAATTTCAAGAATAAATTCAAGAACTTTTTATTAATACTACATGATTTTCATTTAAAATAAAGCCAGATTGATAGAGTTATCATGAATTGAAATATTGGACTTTAACAATTTGATATTTTTGCTGAACTATGGAAAAGTCACGCTTTGAAAACTACTTACGCACATGGGTATATCATAGACTAAAAGTGAATAATCTAATATTGAGATAATTTTATTAAAGCATCGGAATTTCAGGTATTGAAAACACATTATTAAATCGAGTGTAAAGTTGCATATCATGATAGTGTGATTGTATGAACGTGGGTGAATGAGCTGAAGTCATTAAGCCACTGTAGTACACTAAGCGAGAGGGCTAGCCTCAGAACATTGAAGGATTCATTCTTCCTGTAGATAGTTAGCTCTCTAGACAGAATACAATATTGACATTTAGGACCTACCATCGTAGATGCTACGTCATCTGTATCCTTCTCGAACCAACAGTAATATATCGACCTACCGTATTACCTCAACAAATTGGATCCGAGGTGACAGGACGGTATCCCCACTCGAAATTGCCAACATAGTCAGAACCATGGAAAGCAATGGCCAATATAGCGATGCTCAAGTCTAAATCAAAGTCTCTAGTTAATTTGCCGATATCCACGCATCGGAATATCCGGACGAGACTTTCCAGAACGAACTACAAGTCACCCGGCCAAGAGCGAAATGAAGACAAGAATGTTCGGTAGCTAAGTGGTGCAGTGCACCCTTGTCAATAAACTCGAGCCAGGCTGGCGCATTTGGGAACTGTTGACTTTGAGAAGGATACAAAAGACATAGCACCTACGATCCGTAGGTCCTAAACGTCTATATTGTATTCTGTCTAAAGAGCTAGCTATCCTACAGATAATAGGCCTTAAATAAGGACTACTGAAAGAGCTAGCCTCTTTCGCATTCGCTTAGATTTAGTACAGTGGCAAGTGAATTGAAGACATTCACCTACGTTCACACGGGGACACTGGTTCTGAATTTGGGAGTAAATAACTTCCCACGACTCCTATGTAAAGCGACCAAGACCACTCAAGATAAAACATGAACCCTCTACTTCCTGCTCATCCATCACCTATTCGCTTGCTAATTTATTCTCTGCATGCATGTCTGAAAACGCTGCTGAATCCTAGAAATGAAGTATACCCTGCATCTCGCCGTTCGAATAACTCCAGCAAAAAATTGCAGTGAACACCAAACAAGTGTACAGTACAGTACCTACAAAAAAAACTCGAAAAAAAGTCTTCACATACAGTTTCGCGAACCCGACACTTCATCCGGATTACAAAATTAAAGATTCGCATCTGACAAAAAAGACCACAATCCCCCTTCAAGAAAATCCATGTAATCTTGCCGCAATATGCCATTTTCCAGGCTGTCCTGAACAATCTGTACATTCTCATAACCGCATCTTACAGCCCACCAATAAAGAATATGATGAGCACCATGAAAGCCCGTCATAACAAAGCACATACCCTCTAGCTTGTAGGAAATGAATGCTATATACCATAATGAAAACGAATGCGCTAAACGGGACACTCTCAGCTGCAGCTGTGAATAACCACACGCGAAGGAATAGAACTCACGTTACGAAGAATCCGGCACTGCCATTCAAAGCTCTCTTGTGTATCATTTGATCCAGCGTATTTTTTAACATGATGAGATTCGATTGCGCGTGGCTGAAAGCGACATCGTACTTTATCGTCTGTCTACGTAATCTTTCGTTGCTAGCAGTAGTAACTATAAAACGATAAGAATTGGGATATCATACCAACCATATGCACTCGGATCTATGATGATAAAATATCTAGAGCTGTTTCGCTTAAATCTGCATCATTGTGGTTTACAAAACAAGACCTATTGCGTGATTTAGCCAATATCAGCAACCGAGCTGAGTTCAATCTTACGCTCGAACCTCGAGGTACTTTTTCAGGTAGTATACTGCATCATAACCAAAATGATGTGTGCTAACGAGCCTCTACATGATGCGGCTCTGATCTACCAGGACATCTGTGTGGCTGATACAGCTAAGAATGTTACTTTCACTGCAAGTAGCCTTGGCGTGCTTGCAATTTCGAGTGGCCTACTGGTGTTCCCGCCCGCTAGTGCAGTGGTTACCCTTGCATCCTTCACTGGGTTATGTGCTAGCTTGGTCTCCACTGGTGTTTTTGCGCAAAATACGGTTGTCAATGGAATCGCTTTGCGTAGGAGCCGGAACCGTGAGTAGAGCTATCTTGTATGCTACGAAACATTTACAGTTGATCGCTGACAATAAACAGTCAAGTATGTGATAGGTCAGATCTACCTCTCACTCATGTCTTGTCGGCTTTTCCTTCTTCTGATACTCTCCAGAGTCCTGCCATTCCTAGATCGTGGGTCTGATCACTATCAACATTTCAGATCCATGTTCGACAAAAATCAAACATTCAACCGGACCGGTTAGTTCAACCTGGATATCTGTTCGAGGATATTGAAATCATGGTAGACCAGATCAATACCACCTTTGAAAAGCTTCAACGCGAGACCACCAACTAAAATTTCAGTCAATTCAGGAGCCTGGTTTTATCACAGTTGAGGAGATTCTTGTAATAACGTCACGAGTGAAGAAGTGGATCGGGATATTATGAATATGTTTGTAGGATTGGAGCATGCAACAGTTTGACGACAGTTTATGAGTGGAATTATTGTATTGCGGGAAAGATGACCAGAAGTATTGATACCGAGTATGGAGGACATTAGTAATTCTTTTGAAGTGTTCAGGTAACAACTATCATTAATGAACTGAATGAAGAAGCGAGATCGGAAATATCTCCGATTGATGTTATAATCATAAATATTGTTCGCAAGCTGATCGCATATGCTGCTTCCTGAATTGTCTTAGCTCAAAGGCTTCACCGAACCTTGGCCACGATAAATATCGAGAAAAATGACTTGCGCAAGTTGCGTAGTTGTAAATATCCAGTGGCCATATCTTTATGCTTTGTGACAATTTTAGATATTTACCGTGGTCATATTGGCTGTGGTTTAAACCAACCAAATCGATCCCAAGACTAGAGTCGCGTATCGTGATATTTGTGGTATTTTAACTCAAAAATCAATGCAAAAGTTTTCATTCCCCTTCTATCCCTTCAAAGCCTTCTCTCCCCCTCTCTCCTTGAAAAGTTTGACCATTTCAGTCACGTAGAGGTTCGCGTGAACAAGCGTTCCGCGAGGAATATCAAATATCGTCATCTCGAGGATCCGACTTGGCGTCGATCTAGATGCGGCTGTAGGCATACACTGCACGACGATTCAGCTTTTTAATATATACCCGCAACTTTAGGCAGCCACCTTAAGATTTAGAAACCACTGTTTTCCCCATGGGGTCTTGCAACTACAGGGTTTGTGATTCTAGTGCATAGATTATCGCTCTAAAACCGAAGACCAGCCCCTACAATGACTTAAACGGGCATATCCAATGGATCGAATGAAAAGCTATCCTTCCTACAGAATCTCGAAATTTGGACTTGTCAAAACCAACCTTAAATATACCTTCCCTCCCCTCTCCTGCAGCTGCAGGACCAACGAAGCAGTGAAACACAGGATCCGTGCGTGATAATTCTCATTGCCATCACTTGGCGGCTTGCAGGAGCTGAAGGAAGTAGATAGTGCATACCCTAGAATATCTCGCCAGTACCCACTAGTCCCCCAGGACTTCCCACCTGCACTTCCAGAATCCGAGAATTCGCAAGCATGAGCACCTGTAGCCTACTCGGAGTATTCGGCCGCTATGAGATTGTCTATACCCTACAGAGCTTGGCTTTCACAGAACACTTATCCGGTAATAACGAGTAGGAATTAGACAACCATTCTATACAGGTACATCTAGCTCTAGAATTTAGAACATCCTCAAATGATTAGAAAATGTCTTCGGATAGGTAGCTATACAAAACACTTATATGATTCGTGCCTACAGATTCTTTAAAATCTAGAGCACTGAGTAAAACAACTATCCTCTCCTCTAGAGATCGATTGAGCAAGTGATACAGCGACTAACTAATCTCTCCATCTCCCACTCTCCCTATTCACCATGCCACCATTTCATCATTCCATCATGGCATCATTCCATCATCCCACCATTCCACCCTTCATCATCTCACCATCAATCTCTAGAGTCAAGTTCTAATAGGATAAGAACTATTATAATTATAATATTAAATCTATAAAATTTTAATTAAATAAAAGAAACATATTTTAGAATCGAAGTTTAAATTGTTAAGTGAGTAAAAGAAAATAAAAAAAATAACCGAGCATCTAGGTATCTATACATCACACAGGCAACTAGCCAATACAACTAAAGTAACCCCCTATCATCTGATACCCCCGGAACTTTCTCTCATATCTTCTTTATCAAGAAAATAAATAATCAAAAACACT